GTTAAATTTATACTCCCTCCGTCCCATTGGACTTTGCCAATTTTCCTTTTTGGTTGTCCCAAAAAACTGTGCCACTTTCCTATTAAAGCAACTAATTTGTGGTTCTGCACATTTCTCTCTCCTCTGCACAAATCTCAACCACAAGGTTTTTACTATTCTTATTTTTCACCTATTTTGCACTTGGCAAAGTAATTGTTTCTACAAATAATTACTTATATATATTATTTCGTATAAAAATATAAAGAAAGTAAAATATAGAGAAATACTCTACAAAAATATAATATAAAACAATTAGTAAATAAAGTGTAGAGAAATAATTATTGAAAACTTATATCACTAAGTTTTAGTGATATAAATATTTCTAACTTTAAAAAATCATAGTAATAGATTTTTATCTCTGACAATCTCCCCCTTTGATCAATCTAAATATTATGGTCACAATTATAAGTATCAGATAAAGAGCATTTGATAAATTATTATGGAATTAATTTTCAAATTTATATGATTTCTTATATTGTTTTATTTATTTTTTTTCAAATAACCTTCTATAGCATGTTAAAATAACTTGATTGATGGAATTTTCAAAGTAAACATAGTGATATGAAAAATTGAAAACAATAATTTCAATTATAGTCGGTCCAGTCACAATAATCTCTTCCGGTGATTATTTCTATATAATCCCAACTATTTGTCTTCTCCATCAATAATGGTCCATGATCGGGGTATGACCTGTTATAGCAGGTCCTTATTAAATCGAAATTATGATTATTCTATAAAACATCCGAATTATCCTCTTTCTTTTAAATATGCTAATTATCAACCAATATTTTTTCAAAACATAGGAAATGTTACTAAAATTTGAAAATTAGGATTGTGTACTATTTAAGTTTATCTAAATCTAAAAACGTACAGCATTTTAAAAATAAAAAGAATTATTTAAATTTTTGTTTTCAAAAAATATTATTTCTATTTTGACTGCTATTTATATTTGAGTTCTTTTGCGAATTCATGATTTTGTATGTATTTTTAACTAATTTAAAATTATTCGGATATTTTAATAGGATTATTAGATTTTAAATAAAAAATAATTGATAAAATATTAACTATTATTTTTTGCACTTTCTTAATTTTAAAATTGTAGATCTTCATTTTTGAACTTTGAATTTGTACTTAATTTGCATTTTCATTTTTCCTTTAAAGTTTTTATATCGGCCTCTTTACTCTATATTTTACTTTCTTTATATATATATAATATCTTACATAATATAAAATTTTAACTTAGAAATTTATATAATTTTTCCATATTTTCCAGATTTTTTATTTATATATTTTTATATTATTTGATTCTATAACTACGTAAACAGTTAATATAGTAAAAATAAAGATCGATAATCAATTTTTACGATTTTTCTATTTCTTTATGGAAATTTTCATTCCATATTCGGTGTTTAATAAAACTTGACAATCATAGTTGGGATCATCACACTTAGATACCTCTTTTTTAGTTGGCTAAACGTAGAGCCGATCACGAGGGACCACTATTAGCGGAAGGTCACTAAAGTTGAATATATATATTCTGAAGCAATCTATATTCTATAGTTAAGATTATTAACAGTTGACTGATAATAGTTGAGATTATTTTTATCAATTTTCCTAGCTACTTCTTTTTAATATAAGGGCATAAGTAATGCATTCAATATGATCGTAGTAGAATGAACCACTTGACCTTTGTTTCTCTTTTCTGCTTGATCGTCGCTAGGTATGTTCATGGTCCAAAATTTAAGGGACTTTGATTTGCGCAAACCTCAAATACAATGTCTTTATTTTTTAATTTCTGTGTCCCTCTTTTTGAATAGTTTCATTTTTCATTTTCATTTACCCCAGTGCCGCAAAGGCTCCCACCTACGGTGGGGTAAGGGGGGGTCGGATGTACGCCGTCTTACCTCTGTACTAAAGCACAGAGAGACTGTTTCCGGATGACCCATAGTGAAAATCGCGTCCAAAATTGCATGGACTGACTGTTGCTCCATAACAAAGAAGCGCAGACAGTTTAGTGAGCCATTTTGCTTTATTCCATCATAATCTCAAGCCAAAAAATAATGAATCTTTGGCTCCATTGCAAATGATGGAGCCAAAGACAATAATATGTCAAATGAAAACTATGAAAATATTTTAGAATATTTTACTTTCTAATGAGTGTACTCTTTTAATCATCTTTTTTTACCATCAGATACACGTAGGTATAGTATGAATTCTATTTGAGTGCAATTCTAGAAAAAAAATAAGAGCACATTTGATAATCACTAATTAAGTTTATAAGTCTTATCATACAACTTTTTAATAAACATGTAACTTTGTATGCTTCAAGTTGAATTGTGTAAGAATCAAAATAATCAAAGTTGGATTTATTTTTTAGCTTATTTGGTTGAAGTTATTGCATAAGATAATTTGAGTGCAATTCTAGAAGAAAAAAACAAGAGCCCCGTTTGATAACTTCTATGTTCAACTTGTCAATCTTATCAGTCAACGTTTTTATAGAACTGAATGAGTTCTGGGCATGTTAAAATGTTTTAACTTGGAATGATTTTAGTTCCAGACCCTGATCAACCCTGATCAAATAGGCAACATAGAGTTCCTTCTTATCATAAAGATCATTGTACTGTTTACCACTTCATCAGACTCATAATAGCCAAAATATCCCATCAGTTCTTGATCAAACATAGAAAAGTTCACTCAGAATTGAGCAAAACATTTCACTCAATTCATATCGGCCTACTTAAAATCATTTTGCCCAGAATTGATAATCTCTATTTCATCTTATCAATCTTATCAATCAACTTTTTTATATAACAAAATGAGTTTTGGGCGTATTAATTAAAATGTTTTAACATGTTTTAACTTGGGGTGATTTTAGTCTCAGACCAGGCCAAACTTAAAAAATCAAATTAGACCATAACAGACTTAAACAGATCAGTCGAGACCAGTTTATTTCAAACAAATTAAAAACATCTTCATTACTTTTGCTGGTGTTATTCCAGAACATTAGAATCTGTAGAATGTTTTATGATATTTGCTTAAATTGGATTAAAATTTTTTGGTTTATTTTGATCTGGTCTGATTTGTTTAACTATAATCTGAACTGGTCTGGTATGATGGATTATTGGTCTATGAATAATGAGAAAATTTTACATAAATATTGTACGGAGTACAAAATTTCGTTGAGTCCTAATCCAGCACAAAGAACTTTCCATAATTCATAATTTTTTTGAAATTTTAATTATATGTAACATATAATGTGTAAAATGTTTTATGATTTTTTTAATTATTATTTCTTTTAATCGAACATGAGTTCTTATTGAAACCTAATTTAACTTGAGTTCTAAGTTAACGTAGAAAGAGTTCCAACATTACTATACGCTAGTTCTAAAATAATTGATGTAATATGAAGTCTTTTCTAACATAAATTCTCATGTAACGTATGTAGTAGCTAGAATTAATATACACGATACTAAATTGGAAAGACAATCTAGATTAATATAATGAATGTTTGCTCAAAAGATGACACATGGCAAAACTTTCCCTAATTGTAACCTTGAATTGTATTATATATAGATATAGATTCTTTCATAGTGATAGGAGGGAGGGTTGATATCTGGGTCTGTGTGGTTGCCGGTTGGGAGTTTCTATGGATAAATGTTGAGTATCACTCTCAGGGCTAGAATGGTCTGCAATATTGACTCGGGGAATTTTTGTTCAGTCGGGCTGTGATATTTTGAGAGATGATACAGACCCTCAGTCTCTCAATTGAGTTCCTAGTTTGACTCCATTAGTTATTTATGATATAATAACTTTTTAAATTGAGTTTCCAAGTTTCCTTAACTAATCCCTTTGTCCCGTTAAGATTGTCTCATCTTTCCTTTTCGGTGCGTACCACTAAGATTGTCCTATACCGAATTTGGTAAAATTTGTGTGGTTCTAAATCATTTTTATTGTATTCTTTATTTATCATTTTAATATCAACCACGTGAACCCACACATCTTAATAATCGTGACACCTCCTCATGTCCCAATTTTATTGGGAAAAGTAGTATCAACAACAACAACATTACCCCGGTGCCACAAAGGCTCCCACCTATGGTGTACGCAACCTTACCCCTGTAGTACACATGAAGACTGTTTCCGGATGACTCATGATGAAAATTGCATAGATTGACAATTTATTGAGACATTTTACGTTATTCCATCATAGAGAAAATGATGGAAAATTGCCTAACTAAAAAGTATGATGGAGAAAATTAATAATTAATGATGTACTTTTCATAGGGAGTAAATAGTCTTAGTGTATGAGTAAAATTATGGGTCTGCACTCACTAGTTTTGCTAGGGAGGACACAAAATACTGTACAAAAAAAATAACAAACTGAAAACTGGAAAATCAATTGGTTGGCCATTTGGTTTTTCAAAATTCAAGGTACGGTTATCCGACAAAAGAAATATATGTCTCGCAGTATGGCTACAGTTTTAAAATAACTTGCAATTAACTGAATTGTCATAGAATATTTGGGTTCTACTCAGTCGAGGAAGTCCTTCATTAAAATATATAAGAGTTAAGAATGTGTTTATAACTTCGTATTGCCATTCAAATTGGCTTTGGTGCAGTATCGTTAAAAGTATTGGATTCTAGTGTAGAAGTTGTGGGCGAGTTAAATGTTGCTTTGCTTCAACATATAAAGATAATGAGCCAACTGTATGATTGTATAAATATCTTCATTTATTTTATCCCATTTTCAAAGTATTCATTTGTGATGTTTCTAATTCCCTATGGTCTTATGAATCCTGTTAAGTCTTCTCTCTATCATTAATTAATATCAATTAGCATTAAAAATGCTGAAGAATCTCATTGTCATATTTGCTTGTATTGGTGATGATTTTGATTTTAGTTGAGGATCAATTTATCAATAATCATGTGGTTTCTTGAGCGGTTAAAATTTGACCTAACAGGACCCAACAGTCAATACAGCAATAAATATCAATCAACAAATTGTTGATCTGGGAGTAAGCTTATAGTTATGAGACTGTTTCAGTATTTGTAAGAAACTAAGAACTGAAGACGAAGGGTGAAGCTTTTCTTGGTACAAACATTAAAGCTTATTAAAAGATGAGAGGGAGATCAGATGGAGTGCAGAGAAAGCGGTTGCTAACTTCTGTAGCTGTTATTGGAATCTTCCTTGTTTCCCTTTATGTCTTCTTTGGCTCTAAGAGCAGTGGTGAGTCTGCTCTAGAGTATGGCAGCCGGTCTTTGAGGAAGCTAGGGTCTTCTTACCTGGGTGGAGATGATGATGGTGATACTACTAAGCAAGATGAAAAATTCGGACTGGATGATGGCAATGATGGCATTTTTCTGAAAAGCTTTCCTGTAAGTTATCTAAAAAAAAGTCTTCTAAACAATTTCATGTCATGTACTTGTGTATTTTGATAAACACTTTGATGTTCGATGCATTTTAACTTTTCACGGTTGCAAGGTTTGTGATGATCGACATTCAGAACTTATTCCCTGTCTAGACAGACATCTCATATACCAAATGAGATTGAAGTTGGACTTATCCTTGATGGAGCACTATGAAAGACATTGTCCTTTGCAAGAAAGGCGTTACAACTGCATGATTCCTCCTCCCCCCGGATACAAGGTTAGACAGTATATGCTAACATAGTAGCAGAAGTGTATCGGATTCTTCTAATTTCACAATTCTCATAAATATCCTTGTGTAAATAAGTCATTTTTTTATTATTTGGTACAATAATAGATACCTATTAAGTGGCCTAAAAGTAGAGATGAGGTGTGGAAAGCAAACATCCCTCATACCCACCTTGCTCATGAGAAATCAGATCAGAACTGGATGGTTGTCAAGGGTGAAAAGATTATATTTCCAGGAGGAGGCACTCATTTCCATTACGGAGCTGACAAATACATTGCTTCAATTGCTAACGTAAGAGATTCCGAACATTTCTTTTGTGAAAGTATTTTGCACCATAAACATATTAAACATGTACAAATGTTCACTGCATTTTATGTGGTGTCCCAATTTACAGATGTTGAACTTTTCAAAAAATATCTTGAACAATGAGGGGAATGTACGCACAGTTTTTGATGTTGGTTGTGGTGTTGCTAGCTTCGGAGGCTATCTTCTTTCATCTGATATAATAGCAATGTCCTTAGCACCAAACGATGTGCATCAGAATCAGATCCAATTTGCATTGGAAAGAGGAATTCCTGCATCTCTTGGTGTTCTCGGAACAAAGAGACTTCCTTATCCAAGCCGTTCATTTGAGTTTGCTCATTGTTCTCGTTGTAGGATTGATTGGTTGCAAAGGGATGGAATTCTTCTTCTCGAGTTAGATAGAGTTCTTAGACCGGGAGGCTATTTTGCCTACTCTTCTCCGGAAGCATATGCACAGGATGAAGATGATCTTAGAATATGGAGACAAATGAGTGCACTTGTAGAACGCATGTGCTGGAAGATAGCTGCAAAGAGGAACCAAACTGTCATTTGGGTTAAGCCTCTAAATAATGACTGTTACAAGGAAAGAGAACCAAACACCAGGCCACCTCTCTGTCGGCCTGATGATGATCCTGATGCAGTGTGGGGTGTTCCAATGGAGGCATGCATAACACCTTATTCTGAACGTAAGTATTTTTCCTTAAATCTGCATTTAAAATCGTTCTGCTGAATGATCTTCCTTTTGCATCTAATTGGAGAAGTGTGTTATTAACTTTAGAAGCTTGGGCATGCCTTTCACTAGATGGAAAGATCTATTCAGTTGATAACCTCAATCTTATTCTTCTAGAGGTTTAGGTGGCGGTCCTTGAACTTTCTGTGTTTAATATTCTATTCTTTTTTTAATTGGATGAGATCGCAATACCATAAAGTTTCAAATCAGGCTAGATGTTAATATGTTAATTATCAAAAAGAAAATTAGACCCAATGGGAAACATTTAAATACCAGACCAGAAAGATGACACATCTAAACTCCTTATCAATTATCAAATCAGCCCATAAAGATCAAATGAGATCTTATAAATTCAAATGAAATCAAAAAATTTCAGACAAAGAGAAAGATGCCACTCATATGTCCCGTTTCTTACTTAGTTGTTTGATTGCACTCATAGGCAACTCTGGACTCCTTATCAAGTTATCAGCATTTCCATTTTTTGCCAACTCAAGCCTCAAGGAGTCATGGCCAAGCCTCCCCTCCCCCCCTTAGTTTTTCTGGTTTACTGGTTGGTGTGCATTTTCTCCAATACGTCCTGCAAGTGAGATATATTTAAATTATTTATTTTCCGTTTTTTGCACCAGATGACCACATAACCAAGGGAAGTGGATTGGCACCTTGGCCAACTCGATTGACCACACCTCCTCCGCGGCTTTCTGATTTTGGGTATTCAAATGAAATGTTCGAAAAGGATACGGTAATATTCTCACTTATAACAGTTTATGCTGACTGACTGCTCTCAGACATATGCAATTACAAGAAAGAAAATTGAGTTGTGGCTTTCTTCGGCACAGGAACTTTGGAGGCGGAGAGTTGATGGTTACTTGAGGATTCTGAGTCCCAAAATTTCATCAGACACTGTGAGGAATATTATGGACATGAAGGCAAACATGGGTTCATTTGCAGCTGCTCTCAAGGACAAGGATGTATGGGTAATGAATGTTGTACCTGAAGATGGACCCAACACACTCAAGATTGTATATGATCGAGGCCTCATCGGCACAATTCACAACTGGTATGTCGATAAATGTATTTTTGTAATCATCTCATCATATTTCTATCACCAACAAATTTGCTGTTTTGGGTTTTGCCTTTTGGTTTTGATGACCAAGGATGTCTTCAGACTAGACAATACAAGACTTGGACAATTGTAAAATGCGCAACAAACATTTACTAGACCAGACCAAAAATTTGAGTCCAATTAAAAACATACTAATTAAATCTTGGCCAAGGGGTGGGTTAGCAAAGAGCTTATTGGAGTCTTTAGCATTATAAGTCCAAAGTATATTTAATTTTAGCGTTTGTTAAAGAACCTATAAGATTAGATAAAGTACAAAGATTATTTTACAAAATGTATTCCAAGAGAGCTTTATGGATTAGCTTATTGAATAATTATTATGTAAAGCCAAAAGTGCTCTCAATTTCTTCTATTAAATCTATTTATATACGGTGCATGAGGTAAATTAAAAAGATAAAAAAACTATTAGCGAATATGTATTTTATTTAATATAATAATTTAGAAACGCATACTCTTAATATTTTAAAAATAATTGAAAGGAGTTTTTCATTAACGCTTTTTAAAAAGTTGTAATGTGAAATAAAATACAATACCTGAGGCAAAAATAGCAATAAAAACTAATATTAGAACTATAATAATAAACAAAACCATGTCTTTATTATTGACACATTGAAACAACTTGTATCTAATCACTACTACCAAAAATCTTGAAAGAATGATGTGTATATATATATAGAGAGAGTAATCTTCCGGTCAGGCCTTGACCGGAACCGCTGTCCGGACGGAGGTGTTTGGGGCCCTTCCCGGTGGAGTTTTTTGATGAAACTTTTATGACATGTTCTCCATCAAATCTAGTTCATCCACAAAAAATTTCAGCTAAAAATTCTAACTGGAAGGTACTCTAATAATTTTTGGAAGATAACTGCACCAAAATATACATATAAAACACAGTTATGTTCCAAAGATTATTTGACTGCCTTCCCGATTTAATTTTTAGCTGTTTTTTTTGTGTGGATAAACTAGACTTTATGAAGAACATGCCTAAAAAAATTAATCATAAAATTCCACTGGGAACCGCCCCAAACGGCGTGTCTGGACGGCGGTTCTGGTCTGGAATTCTGGAGCTGAACTTTTCTCTCTATATATACGTGTATATATATGTCAACCACACTTTTGGAAAATAAAAATACAATTATTTTCTTTTTTCCAAATATGGGACTAACCCGTGTTTAAGCAATTCAGACCGCCGTCAACTGCCACAGGAATAGTCTTTTTTCCCATCTAATTCATTGGAACAATTTCTGAAAAAAGTCAGTGATTTTTTTGCGGTAATCACAATGGCTGTTCCACGGTGACTGGTGGAGGCATTAGTAACACCGGTAGTAACTGGTAGTGATTCACTCCGTAATAAACTTGAAGTGATACTCCGTATAAAAAATGCTAGTGACATTCATAGTTGCGCAATTTAATTACTTTGTTAGTCACTTATGTCCATGAACCTAAATATGAATATCGCTATTTTTGCTCTTATTTCATTTGTCGATTCACGTTAGCCGACCTCTAACGTTTTTGGTACTATAGTTTGGATGTTGACATATTGTTACTCTATTTTGTCCTTATTTAAAAGTAGTCACCTTTTTTTTATTTGGGCTTCAATATATTAGGAAAACTTCAAAGTTATCTTCCTAAAAATGTTACTACATAAAAACGCTAAAGGTGAACAGGTAAAAACTCATTTAAACAGCTAATTGCGTAACCAGGCCTAGACATGTCCCAAGAAAGGTTGAGATTTGATGCTGTCCCTGTGTATGAGTGCAGGTGTGAAGCCTTTTCAACGTATCCTAGGACATATGATTTGCTCCACGCTTGGACCATATTTTCTGAAGTTGAGAAGAAAGGCTGTAGCGGAGAAGATCTGTTGCTTGAGATGGATCGTATCCTAAGGCCTACTGGCTTTATTATCATCCGGGATAAGCAGCACGTTATTGAATTTGTGAAGAGGTATATGCAGGCATTGCACTGGGAAGCTGTTGGAACTGGAGACTCATCTTCAGACTCGGATCAGGAGGGAGATGATGCAGTGTTCGTCATTCAAAAGAAGCTTTGGCTTACGAGTGAAAGCATTAGAACTACAGATTAGTAAAAAATACTACTCTTTCCCCAATTCTTTTTTTTTGCTATAAAAAATCCCAACTTCTGGAGTAGAGCAGTGTGCCTGGATTCCGGGAGATATCAGCTACGTTTTGCTCTCCACGTTCATTTCTTCACTCATTTTTTTAAAACCCGGGGCTCTATTTGGCTACTTGTTTTGGTTTGTGCTTTACTTGATGTTATACAGACAAAGTTGCATTGGCAGGCCATTTTCTTCATTAATTGATTTGTGTTGGGTGCATCCTGGCCGGTTAGGATATAGTGTAGTATATTGGGCATTAGGGTTGGACAAATTAAAGATTGTTGTTGAAATGTGTCATTTTATTTTTATTCATTGTATAAGAATTAAAGAAATGAAATTAGTGATGGACTCGGGCCTGGTCGGGCCTAGGCCCGGGTGTGGTGTAGGAATGGACTCGGGCCGGTTCGGGCCCGGCCGGGCCTCGGTTCTAGGAAGGCAGGCCCGGAACCGGCCCGGATAACCCCGGGTCCGGTTCGGTTCGGGTCACCCGCCCGGTTCACGGGCCGGGCCGGGCCGGGCCTATTTAATTTTTTTTTAATTATTATATAATTAGAATAAATCTTATTACAATTACAATATATTATATTCGAATTGAAGTATATTTATTTCAAATAAGAAGTACAATTGAGAATTAGGATGAATTTAAAAAATGTAATACATTTTGTAATAAAAAATCAATCGGACTCTCCACCTTCGGTTGTTTCCTCCATAAAGTGGCGGGAGGGAGTGATGGTAATTTCTTGAGTTCTTCGTTGGGCCTTCAACCAATCGTGAAAGTAAACCAGTGTCTCAAGAGAGCTCGGGCTCAACCTCGTTCTAAAATCGGTTAGGACGTTGCCGGCCGCACTGAATTCTTGTTCCACGGCAACGGTTGATATCGGCATTGCTAGTACTTGCTTAGCCATCTTTGATAAAATCGGGAATGTACTTTCATTTTCCTTCCACCACTTAAGAACGTCAAAGTCATCACCAACTTCATAATCAACATTCAATGTTAGATACAAAGAAAGCTCGTTACCTGAGCTTTGTTCAGTAGCGGGAGTTGCTCTACTTTTTTTCAAAAGAGAACCAAAAACGGATTTTAAAAGTGATTTTCCTTTAGATGAAGAAGATGTTCGTTGCATGGGAGGGGGTGCATTACCATATTGTGCATGAAATTCATTATACAATTGATGAAATAAATTACTAACCTCGTTGAATTCTTGTTTAGGGTCGATGGGATTATCATCGAACTCTTGAGTTGGAAAAAAAGAAGCATAAATTTATATATTAATTATATAAATTATATATATGTAGAAAGAATTTGGAGAAGATGAAGAATGAAGATGATTGAATATGAGAGATTAAGAGAATAGAGAATTTAGATTTTAGAGAGTAGAAAGAGTTGTAGGTGTAAAAAATGTATAGAAAATAGGAGTATAAATAGGTTTTTTTTTGTATACCCCACCCCCACCCCCACCCCACCCCCCCAGACCCCCCCTCCTATGCTCCCAACGGCTATAGAGCCGTTTGGGAGGTCTCCCAACGGCTAGTAGAGCCTTCAAATTTTTAAATTTTTTTTTTTTTTTTGTGACCGTTGAGGCTCGGCCGGGCCGGTTCACCAACTTATAAGCCCGGGCCCGAACCGCTACATGACCGGGCCAGGTGGCCCGAACCGTGACCTAACCAACGAACCGGGCCGGTCCGGGCCCGCACAGTAGCGGGCCGGTCCGGTTCCGGGCCGGTTGGCCCGGCCCGAGTCCACCACTAGTGTGGTGGCGGTTCTGAATAGGTGGACCCAGGACTGGTGCGGGTAGCAACCGGTCCATGCTGGGCCGGGCCTTGGTCCAATTACAATTTTTTCCCTTTTTTCTAATTAACTCGCCCTCCACCCCTGACCCCCCAAACCACCCTTGATGGCCCAAAATACCCAGCCCATCCCGGGGATTTAAAAAAAATTAAAACTCAGGGCTCTATTTTGCTACTTGTTTGGGTTTGTGCAATTGTGCTTTACTTGAACAGTTGAACTTGTACAGACAAGTTGCATTGACAGGTCATTTTCTTAATTAATTGATTTGTGTTGGGTACATCCTGGCCGGTTACGGTGTGGGTCCCAACACTAGAACCTGAACCGGAACAATATAGTGTGTACACTGTGTAGTATATTGGGCATTAGGGTGTCCGACCATTGAGAAATGAGAATAAAATAATTAAGCAAAAATTAAAGATTCATGTTGAAATGTGTTTCATTTTATTTTTATTCATTGTAAAAGAAATGAAATCAAAGTGATTAAAATAAAAGATTATTTTATCAACACAAAAATTTAACCAATACCAAGTAATGGTAGATATAATTGAGAATTAATTGTTCAATGTTTAATTGGAAGACATAGCTTGCAATTTTATTTTAAATAGATTGTGAAAAATTGTAAATAAATGTTTTAGGATATATCATAAGTCATCTAAAATTGTTAATTAGTCCATATCTTAATATCTTATAGTGATGTTCAAAGCAAAACTAGTTTTTTAAATCTAATGACAATCATAATTTTTAATCATAATTTTTAGTTATATTACTTACCCAACCTCCTGATGCATTTAATATAATCAAATAATTAAATTCTCTCAAAATACTTTAATTTGGATCAATGCGTTAGAAGATGAGTGTGTGTTAAAAGTGTCCATTTACGTATTAACATATAATTTACGAAGTATATCACAAACATATTACTCCTTATATTTTATATTTTTAACGCAATAATCTAAATAGAACAAATTTAACGATCCAAGTTCAATACAAATTAAAACATAATATGGATAATTAATTAACCAAATTTTAACCCCAAATTTATTTAGTCATAAATATGTGGGAAAGCTTAGAAAGATACAAATTCATGATTAAAATAACAAGATTTAAAAAGATAATGAAAGTCAAAAAATTGTGATAGATGATAATTTGACAATCTTTGAAGCTTTGGTGTTAATGTACTTGATCTTGAATATGAAAGTGATTAATTGTTGTTGAAGTTGGACTCTTGATTTGAGGGTCAGTAATGATGAAAAAAGGGAGAGAGGAATTGTTCCTAAATTGAGTAAAGAAGGAATAATTTGAAATTATATATGGAGGAAAGATTAAAGTATATAATAAGATAATTAACCATTAATTTTACTTGAAACTTTTGGTGCAATATGTTAATTTACACGTATGCAAATTATGCGAAACCACAAAAGGATCTAGCATTATTTTCCTAATTTCATAAAATTAGCAACCAATCTACAAACATCAAATGTATAGTAAAACTAGACTTGCTCTTAAGGTGAGTTAAGTCTTAACCAATTAGGCGGTTAGACCATTTGTAGACATTGTAGCTGTGAAGGCCAAAATGTTAAAAATGAACTTCACCCATATAAAGACTCACTATTTTTTGATATGAGAATATGATGAAATAAAGCAAAATGGTTCACTAAACTGTTTGCGCTTCTTTGTTGTGAAGTAGCAGTCAGTCCATGCTTTAGACACAATTTTCACTATGAGTCATCCGGAAACAGTCTATTTGTGCTTTAGTACAAGGGTAAGAATACATACATCCAACCTCCCTTACACCACCGTAGGTGGTAGCCTTTGCGGCACTAGGATAATGATGATGAGCGTATTTTTTACATATCAAGTTAGTAAAACATTAATTACATTATTATAAGTAATGTTTTCCTCTTAATTTTTTCACTGTATAGTTATGAAAAAAATACACAATTCGATGTAGAAATAAATAAATTTCATTAATTCTTTTAACATTTTTCTGTTAACAAAAAATGAATATAGTTTAAGTAAAGTTCGATTTTGGAATATTAAATTATTTGTGGAGGCTCCATGAATTAAATATTTGTGTTTCATGTTGTTTTCAGCTCAAGAAAACTCCAATAGTTAAAACTTCAGATTTTTTTTTTCATTTTATATATTACATATTGGTGTTTGATGGAGTATATTGCCCAGGGACCCCCGGCCCATATACTCCTACTGCTCTATACAAGGCCCAATAGGCCCAGGAAGCACAACAGGCCCAAATCACAGCGCCCCGAGTGCCAAGCAGCCAACAATACACACCAGGGGTGCCTTCGGCCCCTTGGCCGAAGGCTCCTTATACTCACAGAAAGGCTATTTTCAGCATACAAAGACACTGGGAGAAAACAGTAAAAACAGCAGCCCTCGGCACCTAGAGCCCTCGGCACCTAGGGTGGCCCCGGAAGGAAGAGCCTTCGGTCAATCATCCACGGCCGAAGGCTTCCCCTCGACAGAATCTCCCACCCACATGCGCTGGATCAACGTACCAAGTACAAACGTCGCATCCAACCGCCGCATTAAATGCGGCCACATGCGAATGCCAGTGACACCCGGTTGGTATGACCCCTCGGCCGTTGGATGCACGACACGTGTCCCCTTCTCGCATTTATTGCTGCTATAAATAGCACCCCATTTCCCCTTTGTAAACCAAATTCGGAATACACTTTTCACTCTTATATTCAATACACTTTCTTTCTCCTGCTTGCTCTGACTTCTCTCTAGTTACTTCCCGCACTAACCCTTCAGATACATATCCCCGGGTAGACTATCCATCATTTGGTGCCATCGTTGAGAGGTCGAATAATCAAGTAAGAAACCCTCCCCCTCGCCAAACACAAAACACCTAGCGAAAATGGTGAGAACAACTCGTGTCAACTCCAAGAACGTTGAGGACAGGAACCGGGCCCTCGGCGAAGTCGACGTCCCCGAGGCCTCTAACAGGGCTCCCGGGGGCGGCGTCATCGCCGGGTTAGATCAGACGGCTGTCAACCTACGCCTTCAAATTCAACAAACTGCCCCCGATGCCCGCCTCGGCATCGAGGCAAAAAAGAAGGACCGAAGCGAAAACCAAGTTAGGCCCCCGGTCATCACTATCGACGTACAGTCGGCGTTCTCCGCCTTCATCCAAACGCTCACCCAGAACCCGGGTGTCTTTGGCACTTTTGTTCCCCTTCAACCTCAGGTTGGGGAAAACATCATGCCTCCCCCTCATCCACACACCCTCGGGAACGCTGTCCTTTGGATTGGGAACGTCGAGGGGGTCGTGGCCCAAGATACGACCTCCCAGGAAGTCCAATCCCGGGACCGCCACAACATGAACAAGGAACAGCCCCGGACCTCTGCCCTCAAGAGACTCGGAGGGGCGCAAGTCCGCCTCGGGGGGAAGGTGTTCCAAAGGCCTCAAGAAAGTGGCGGATCCGTTTCCCGGGCGGATGAAAGACGTCCGCCTCAGGACCAAGGCAAGGCACCTCTCCATGCCGACGACGCCCGTCACCACATCAACCGGGCCCA